AATGTTATCTTATCAATCTGTGCTGCAGTACAAACGAATAATACCAATATTAGTAAACTAATGTTACTTTTGACAATAAATCCAAGCTTTAGAAAAGTTTAGGAAATAAACTTTTCTAAAGCAATAACACTGTTGCTAAGGCAGTGATACTTTATATCCCAAATATAATAAGACATTCAGAAATGACTCTGAAATGGAATCGTCTGGAATTCATGTAGTCAGCCTGGTGGAGTCTCACAGCAGTAGATCCCCACACCAGACATTTTTAATTTTGCCACTGAAACTGAGGAGTGAAAGTATAAGTGCTATTTATTTAGCATTATTTATTTTTCATAAGTAGTATAATGTTGGGTGTGGTAAGGTAAAGGTAAGTCTGTTACAGGAGAGACTGGTCCATATCAAAATAATGACGGCACCTCAAGGTGATGATGGCACATGAAAATAGAGATGCAGTTTTGAGGCAGAATCTCTTTATAGGACTATCCTATCACTGTGTAGTAAATACATACATTTTACTTATACAATTGAATATAAATAAAAATTTGGAATCTGAAATGTTTTAAATCCAACTAATTTGTACACTGTATTGCTGTGACACAGTGTAAAGTTGGAATGCTAACTAAAAAAAATACAATGAAAAAGTCAACTTGTTGAAGTCAGCTTTGACGGGACGTGTGAGATGCAGGTGAGGGGCTGAACTGCAGCAGATGTGACTTTGTTGAAGTACAGCTTCCCTACTAGTTTGCTAAAAACGATTGGACAACCCATTCAATATCTTGCCAAAGATAGTCAGTGCATTAAAATAAAAAAAAAAAAAAAGTTGCATACACTGAAATGAAGGTGGTTTCAAAAAAACTTGATTACAAGACCAACCTTCTGGGTGCAAACAGAATCACTACAGAGCAACAGGTTCTTTATTGCGCAGTACTGTACTGTAAATTTTCTCAAATATCTTTTTTGAAACCATTTATTCATTTTTCAGAATACCAAAGAACATAGTGCAACTAGTTACAAAATGCTTTATTAGCGGTTACATGCCCAAGGACAGAGCTGATTGAATATCTTGACTTTTTTGTTTACTGTGACCATGATTTAATCGAAGTACTTGGAACTATTTCCAGGGATAACCAAAAGAATAACAAAAGGACAGGTAAAAAAAAATTAATAATACTGGTCTTTGCATATCATGGTCCTTTTGATACAACAATGTACTTCAAACTTCTGACAGACGACATTTCTCAAAAAATCTTATTCTTTTTACAAAATAACATCTGAAAAGGATCCACACATACCAAACAAGATTGTTTTTACTAAAGAGCAATTACATATAAAAAAAAAAGAAAAAAAAAGAAGAAGTTTTAGGTCCAGTCAAAGAAATATTTTCTTTAAATGTTTTACTATTTAGCACATCAGCTGTGATGCATTCTCTGATGTTACTTCTGGAGATGGAAGGTACTTACTGAAGAAAATGCTACATGAACTACAAAAATGTAATATCTCCAGATTCAAGTATTTTTGTATTGTAAATGCATAAATATAAAGAATAAGCAACCAATACACACAAGTCAGACAGGAGAAATGTGCACAAATTTGACTGTTACTGTTCACTGAATCATTTTGTGAAAAATGGGGTCCGTTTCCAAAACACGAACAATGAAGGGCTGCTTTCGCAATATTTTTCTCACAATGGTGAAACCACAACAAATTCGATCTTTGCTAGCTGACCCAAGATTTTGTACTATTTCAAAAAAAAAATCTAAAGCTGAATTTTTATTACTGTTTTAAAATATATTCTGACAAGACTTCCTTTGTTTTTTTTAACTTCAAGACATCTGAAGGTGCTGTGGCAAAAAGTGTCATAAATCGATGGGTTACAATTACAAAATACACAAAGGTTATAAAAGAAGTACGATTTAAATGCCTTAAATATTTTGAAGATATCGTTCCAATGATTTAGTCTTTTTTCTTTTTTTAACAAAGTACTAGGGTGATCGGAATTTTCACTATGTGAAGAATGGAGTAACACAGTGCTACCCTAGCCCCACCTATTGCTGCACAGCTATGAAAGAAACAGTGAAGTTGTGGAAATGCCATTTTCATACAAGATGGTTGGTTTGCTGGCTACCAGAAGAGCTAACCCCATTAATAACCCAACCATTTATAGCTCTGAAACTCTGCTACTATTCAGCAAAATAAGCACTTGAAAACTCATTTTATGTAATAGATTTATGTTGAAATAATGTATTATAAAACTGGTACACTTACCAAAAGCAGTCATTTAATTACAATCTCATTTGTACATGAATGGGGGAAGAGATTTCAGCGTACCGGTTATTTGCCCCTTAGCTATTTCATGCAGATGCATTTTGGCTGTTTTATCCCCAACTTTTTTGTGGGGGTATTAAATGTAGCAGTCTAAAATGGAACGCTCCATATCGCTTGTACACCAATTTGTACAGGCAATACAAACTGGGGTCCTTTTTGTACCCACTTCGACAACAAAGGATCTCAAGCGATTTTCTACAATCTACATAATGGAAAAATAATTATCTGACTGCAATAAATGTTCTCTAGTAACTAGAGGCCACTTGAAGCTATTTTAGTTCAATATGGGATTATAATCTGTCATATTTCATAAGTGCCGACTTGCCCAATAGAAATCAGAACTTAAATAGAAATTGCATATCATAAAAGGTGCTCAGGAAGAGTACTGAACATAGGCAAGTTACATTACACATGGGATTTGAATATTTTTATGACCAGTAAAATGAATACATTTCAGATATTTTTGTGCTTTACAGCTAACAAAAATTTAATTTCTCTGGAAATTGTAATACGGAAAATAGTGTCAATCTACAGCTCTGCTGAAGTTTTAAGAAAGCCCAGCTTCCTTTAATGTTATCTAGCACTTCTGCAACACCAGCAGATGACAAGGATCACCAAGTCATCACCGAGTTTAAAAACTATACCCTGGACTTCAGGCAAAATAGATTCTGAGCCTCACTTCCTTCAGATTCTGGGATAAATTTCAACTGAAATAAAAAAATTACTCTATTTTCATCTGAAAAGGATGACGTTGATCCGGTTGGCAACACCTCAGGCCTTTTTCTCCGTTGTTCAGAAAAGACTCTTTCTGTAGCTGAATGCAACAATTTCTTGGTTGGAATGTATGACATGTCCTGAAAATGTTGCCGTGTGCTAGCTGAACCTCTCCAAAACAAAAACTTCTGTCAAGGTTGTGCACTGTTTTCTACCACACTTTTTTCTTCAAATTAACTTTCCAATAAGCTAGTGTACAACAAAATATAAAACTCTCAACAACTTATTTACCATTTACCTTTTGTGGTTTACTAACCATAGAGGTGGTGTCAAATGCGAGTTTGACAACTGTTGGGTCAGCAGTCTTCTGCACGTAGGCTATGACATAACATTTTTGTATTAAAGACATTTCTTTAAATTGATTTTAATATTGCAGTATTCTGAGTAGTTATATTTTGAACTTTTATTAGATTTAAGCCTTCACATTCAATCCTAATATAAATAAATGGTTAGAATAGTCTGTGTGGAACAGACCAGCTTGTTTTTTTAATAGAATTACTAGAACAAATTAACTTTTCAAGTATGTTCTTATTTGCTGATATGCACTCATAGGCATTCAATAATTAAGACATTGTAGAAAAGGGATGAAATGGCTATATGTGGATATGAAATGAGATTATAGACTGATGAATGGGACAAAATCACGCAGAACTAAACATTGGAGAAAACAACATTTTATTGGCATCACGTCATAATGATGAGAAGTGTTGAAAGAGCAATTATTACACAGCCAAACCATCTTTCACAGCTGGATTTGCCCCCACTACTCGCCTACACCAGTGTTCAAAGTCTACAAAATGTTTTTTACTTGATGTTCGCTACGGTATAATATACATATTACGAAATTATTGGCATGAACATGTTTTAAGAAACAGGTGGTTACTACCCAGCGATGCACTGTATGGAGACAGTTCTCAAAAATGGTAGGATTACATATATTTTCGACTATAAGTCAAGACAAAAAGACAACCCTAGATGTGAACATTCCGACATGCACTGGTGGGACATGCAGTGCATAGATTTTTTTTTAAGCGGTTATGGGCAGCAGGGGGTGCAAATTAAAACATGCTAACGTTAGCTTTTGTTAACCCACATCTTGGGCACAAAGCAGCTGCACAGGAGCTAACTACAGCTAGAGCTAGCCTGTTGTGTAGGAACTCTGTCGCCTTTCCTCGATCGTACAGACTAAAGAGACACTGACATCGACCAAATTCGACAAAAATTGCAAAAGCATAAATTGATCCACCATGTCCTGGCCGCCCATACACAGCTGACTGGATTTAGTTTCAGGAAGACAACTCTGAAAAGAGGCTAAAGGAGCAAACAGGTTACCAGTGGATGCAGATAGTTCACCAACTCATCCGAACTACAACCCACAACAAAACGTTTCACACGAACGCGCTTTTTCTTGATCTCTGAATAGGACGGGAAGCATAACATGCAACTTTTTTCATATAATCAACGACCAATCGAAAAGAAGGCGACGATCCGGAATTGTGCCCAGCACACAAAGGCTCGGTCTATTCAATGGAACGGAACTGTTCCAAAGAACTACAATGCCCCTCTAAAAGTGAAAATGCTACATTACACAACGACGCTGAATCTGATTTCTACTTCTCTTAGACAACTTGGGATCGTTGTGTATGGTTGTTCATACAGAACACGGTGTGAAACGGAATAATCACCCATTTTCGGTTTATATAGCACCGATGAACCTTTCCATTTAACGTTCCGTTCAATAGTCTGAGTCATGAAAAGCCGAGGCGGCGACAAATCCCCCCTCCCCTCCATCAGACTGGAGGATGATGATGATGTTGGCTCAGACTCACTTCAAAAAGGTTAAATTCATTACAGAAATCAAGCTAACAGCGACAGGAAAGAAAGTTCAGATTACATCTTACCTTCCAGTCCTATGGACAGAGAATTATCCTCTTCATGTCCCAAAATACTGGGGGGATGAAACGTCGTACTTTTATTTGCCAGCAAGCTAGCGAGCTAATGGAGCTAGCTAGCCTCTCTCCAATGAAACAACACTGCAGTTCTCAAAAATGCACAGCACATATCATTATATCCCAGCGTTGCAATGGTATTCCCAACTTTGCCCATTTGATGGAAAAGCGGCTGATGTAAATCCAAAGGAAAAGCACTTCACTGGCTCGCTCATTTGCGGGGGATCACTTTCCTTTCTCCAATGACAGCTGTCGAGTTCGGGTTATAATACAGCTAGTTGCTGTTAGCCACCCAAGTCTACGGCCAGCAGCAATTTCTCCACCAACACACAAAACGCCCTCAAATCCGAAATTCAGGCTGCCCTACGAGCCAGCTTCCCGTAAACTTCAAATGCGAATCCTCGGGGAAAGTATGGCTGCGGCTGAAGCAAATGTTGGGTACGGACCGCTGGCTTGGCAACTGGTTCTATTTTCTTCAGCTGCGACAAGCTGCGGGACCAAACGGCCAGTTAGAAGACTCTCGTAACCAGCCTGCCACGCAGTAACAACAGGCTCCAAAAATGTGCAAAAACAAACATTGGCTTCCCTAAAAATGACACTCAGTCTGCCACACGGACCGAGTAGAAATATCAGCAATAAACATGACAAAACCAAGTTGAAGATGACGCTTCTGTGTACTCTATAACGGTGGCCATATCTAATGATAAGTGGCACCGAAGCACAGCCCCCCTAGGCTCCCAACAAAATAGACCCACCTCCTCCAAGCAGAACTAGACCGGACGATTATTTTTAGATCGATTTAAATGGTTAGAAAATACGCATTTCAAGTATTTAGCAAATGTATTCATCTATCGATAAGACGAGACAACAAATAATAGGAAGCAGACCGTTTCACAATTTCTTCAAAATACTCTCTGACCCTGCGGAGTGATATGGACATTTAGTAAATAAAATAATGGCATGGGAAAACACGAAAAGACGGAATGTGGATTTCACTCTTATCTGAACTGGACTGAAAATAGTTAACGCTCCAGCTCATGCAAAAATATTCCAGCAGCAGCTGCCAGAAGTGAATCCAACTGTCGGCATTTGTAATTACAATAAAACACGGAGGGGTTGTTTTTTTTTTCGCGACAAACATGGACGTTTAAATCACGAACAAATTGGGGTTCAGCTTGCTCCCTTGTGCCTTTTCTTCCTCTCTGTCCCCTCTACACACCCAACCCCCATTCACACACTTACACTTACACATACACGCACACACAGCAGACATTGCATTGCAAGTAAAGGTAGCTTGCAACCAGGCAGACATATATAGGCTGTATACTCTGTACATGCAGGGGTTAACTTTCGTAAAAGTCCCCAGGGGTTGGCTTTCAGCTGCACATAATGTGAGCTAGAGAGGAGGGTGTTGTTTATTTACGTTCATTTTACTCTTTTATGGGCCCCTCACAACCTCACATACCTCTTTTTTTGAGTTACGCCAGAAGAAAAGAATATTATAAATACAAAAATACACAATTTGTTTTAGCATTTAGCTTAGGCATCTTTTTGCCAAACTAAGAGCTCCCCCTACTGGGTAACACGAGGTAGTTGAATAACATCTTCAGGCGCATTGCCTCATAAAATCATTCCACTCAACTTTTCAAAATTTTTGCCTTGGTTAAAAAAAAAGGAAAAAAAAAGTGTAAACTGATGCATTACAAGTAGACTCACGATATGAGTGGCAGAAAATTACCACAGAACATAACCCTGAACATCAGGCTGTGAAGATATGTTTTTTTCAGAATGGACAAGGAAGGTGGTTAGAGTTAGAGAGGATGTATGGAGACAACACAAGGCAATTCCGAAAGAAACACATTTGCAGAATTTTACAGGCAGTGAAATACCTGAGACTGTGCTGGAGGTTCACCTTTGAATAGGACCAGAACCTTAAACGCATAGCCAAAGCTTCAATTGTGTAGTTGATCAAAGCATACTATTGTGTTACAATGACCAAGTCAAAGTTCAGACCTACATTTTACAAATGCACAACAAACCTTTCAGTAAATAAAGAAGCAGTTAGTTTTTTTTTCTTCGAAATTGTACACTACTTTGCATTGGTAATGTTGTGGAAATCTTTCTTTGACAAAGAGTGAGGAAAAACTGTCTCAAAACCCAAAGAACCAAAGAAAGAATATATTCTTAATCAGTATTTATTGGAAGGTTTTGCAGCGTTCGAAGTCTCTGTTCACTGATCGCAGTCAGGAGAAAGAGCCTCGAGCAGAACACAGCTTACCATTTTATAGGGAGAGTTTCTTTCCATTCACATAGTTTGATAATCTACTTGGTTACAGAACAGCTAGCAAGCACACATACCTTCTTTTACTAGGGGAGTCAAGCACGTCATGAAAGTAAGGGTGCATAGAAGAAACAATGGAATAACTTTATTGAAATTTCAAGGCCCAAGAAGTAGCTTCAGAAGACATTCTCTTGAGCATGTGCATTATACAACTATCATTATACTGTAATGCATTGTTTTACTCATAATCATGTAGTTATAAATAAATGAATAACATTATTTAACTACCTTCTTCAACTATAGATAAAATACAATTACCAAGAACAGTTGGTGTTACTGTTGCCTTGCAGCAAGAAGGTCCTGGACTCGATTCCCATCTTGGAGTCTTTCTGCATGGAGTTTTCATGTTCTCCCTGTGAATGCATGGGTTCTCTCCAGCTTCCTCCCACAGTTCAAAAACATGACTGTAAGGTTAATTGGTTTCTCATTGGTTTCTCATTGGTTTCTAATTGGTGTGCATGCATGGTTGTTTGTCCTGTCTGTCTCTGTGTTGCCCTGTGATGAACTGATGACCTGTCCAGGTTGTGCCCCGCCTCTAAATGCAAAATATCTGCTGGAGAGAGGCGCCAGCACTTCTCCTTACCCCATGGGGACAAAGGTGTAAGAAGATGGATGGATGTTAGAATTGTTTAGAGAGAGAAGCAAGCCTAATTTGCTATAAAGTAATAATATGCAGAAGCAATTAATTATTCTAACAAAACGAAGATTTCAGTTCAGTGAACTATTTAACAACGATTCTTAAAAAAAAAAATGTCTCATGGCACTCCATAGTCAGAGGAAAATTGCTTGTTGGGCCATTGACTTCGCAGCAACCCCTCGCATTGAGCATACCTGTATCAAAACAGATACAGGTATATTGTGTGTGTGTGGGTGGGTGTGCGAGTGTCTGTAGGTGTGTATGAGTGTGTATCAGACTCTATTAGTCACATCAGATGGCATGTTGCTGGTCACCAGTGTTTCTTGACTCTGTACATACTGGTGTCACTTTCTGAGTTATGATCTGTGTGGTAGTGTGTGTTTACACCACTAACAACTACTGAGCTAATTATTCAATCTGCACTGAATAAAATAGAAATAATGCTACACATACACAGATAAGTTGAGCATCTCATCCCGTTCCCATTGTGGGAGTGCACTAACTATTTGTTATCTCATCCCTTGCCGGCAGCTGGCCTTGGTCCTCCCTTTTACCTATACAAAGAAGAACTGTTCTTATGAGACAAAGTTACCGGTTGCATCTGACAAGGAGAGAGGAGGAGAAAAAAGAACTCATGCAACTCAGAATGTTTTACACATGTCTTGGTGCAATCTGAAATATTGTAGATAATTAATTTTGTTCCAGAATTTCTGGTGCAAAAACAGCAAATTGGTGGGCAATCCACACAAATATAATAATATAAGACACATAACAGCAAGAAAAAACGAGTAGCCGTATGTGGAAAATGCACCATAAAATTAGGTGCAGTTATTAAAAATAGCAAACTTTGTTCCAAAGGAATGTGCAACTGAGTAGGGTCTTTTGAAAATTTATAAAATGGCTAAGTTTGATACTGAGCTTGTTTATACTAAAAAAGAAGATTGGGAAACTACAATTCTGATTCAAAGTGTGAAGGAGGACAGACCTATAAATGCAGTGAAATTCTCCTTTAAATCCAAATGGGATATATGATGTAAAATATCAAATGTGGTTGCATATAAATATTGCTTCAAAGCAATATTTCTAAACAAACACACTGAACACTTTTTTGTATGTATTTAGAGTGCAGTTTGGGTTCACAGCAGACAGAGGGCAGTATGACTCTACTTTGTACCACTGTGGAAACAAGCAATATCACAACACTACATTACTCTTTGCTATGTAACATGAAAAATTAAGCCAGAGCAACAATCCTTTTTCTTTTCTATTTGAGAGGCATGTGTCTTAAATTGTGCAGTCTTAATTAGAAGCTTGTAAAGACCAGTGACGTTAAAGATAATCCGCCTTTACTGAGCTGAACTTCAATGATTTCAATTGCTGGTTGAAATTAAGTTGTCCAAAAGAATTTGTACTCTTTTAGTAAATTTAAGCAACTGTTCATGTTTGAGATACAACAGGAAAGCAAATTTTGCTTTCAAAAACAAGTCACTTCAGTTTAGCATGCTAAAGCACAATCACAATCATTACACCCAGGTACAGTAGGTCGACACTCAATGAGTTCTTTTCAAGCTGTTGAGACTAATTGATGGCCTTTGGACTCTACAGTAAGGACATTTTCAAAAGAATACAGTGACTGAGCGATTAAAAGAAATACTTTGTGAGGATAATAGCCCACATTTTTGTGGCCTTGCAAGTCATCATGTGGGTGTAAAGTTTTAAAATGCACTTACTAATTTATTGGTGGGTGTTCATGGACAGTTCTAGATGGGGGACAGCAGGGACCTAATCCCCTGTAGTGTTGGTCCTGGCCCCTGTTGTAGCCCTCTGTGCTGAAGAGATTATGGCAAATCAGTTTCTTATGATGATATGTGGTGACACAGAAATCATAACTAATTGGACCAATTTTATTTTGTACCTTTACAGTTGTATCTTAAAAAAGGATTTTAAAAAAATGCACTTTTAGGCCTGAAACCTGCAGTACTTGCTTACTTAATATATTAAAGGAAGAGATATTGTCGTGTTTTTGTCTTTTCATTCTTTTTTGTTCTGTACCCCCATGAAAATACATTTAGCCTGCATGCATTAGTTTGACTAGAGACAATCCAAAATAAAGCTATATGCAGTATCATAATTCCACTCAACAAGAAAGGATGGTTTAAAGGCATCAGTAAAAGCATATAATTAATACAACATTTATGTCCATGATGAGAGAATGAAAATCTTTAAGTGGGCTGCACAAAAATGTAAAAAAACAAAAAGAGTAGCATCTTCAAAGAGTATCTGCCCTTAAACAAGAAAGACAATTCTGCTAATATTAGATTCGTAAACCACAGACTGTTGTTCATGTTCATGTTCCTCTCTAATGGGTGTGTTTTAGAGATGCAATACTAACATACTCAAGGTAGGGTAAAAGGCAGTTGCAGAATAAAAGGCCAGCTGCATGCTGAACAGATGATAATATAATAAAGGAGTCAAGAAACATGAAACCAGATGATGGTTGATCTCTTCGTGAGTAGAGGAAAATGTATTGTTCAATTCTGTCTTTATGGTCATATACAATAAATCTGTAAATATATGTACATTTGAGGCTTGGTGCCAGTCTCATATGTAACACCTTTTAGCTGGTGTTAAACATACTTTCAACTAAGCCCGCACTTTTTTGAATCCCAAATATATAGTCACAATCGTTTATTAACTCAGTTAT